GCTAAAAAATCTGATTGGCTAAATTTTGCAGATCACCCTAACCCTAACCAATCAGATTTTTTAGCTTCAACATCAGCTCAGCCAAACTTCAGCATCAGCCGTCACAATAAATACCATTAAAACTTTTATGGTATTTAGGAAATAAAAAAAGTTAACAAATACAACTGGAATTGCGTGAGATAATTCGATTTAACTAAAATTTTTTTTTTGTTGCACTACTTATGATTGCCAGTGTATATACGAAAAACGACAGTGCTTACGTCAGACATTACGGATAAAATGTTATCAGTTTAAGTTGCAGCCGATAAATCTAATTATCGTCGGGATTTATAACGCGGAGCATGTGCCGTTTCGCGGCACGTGCGGTAGATTTGATAATCCGAAAATTGATCACCTGAATTTGCAATAAAACTTAAATATTTGTAATAATTGCAACTTTACCTCTTATCATTAAATGATATAAAAGTCTTGAAGTTATTCTTCGTCATGAAATGGTTGAAGGTATAAAAATCCGGAAACAAGTGCATTTTTACGGGTACATCTCTTGTTATTCCAGATATCCATCAATTGGAGATTTCAAAAATCAATACATAATGCGTCTTTAACTGGTAATTTCGCAAGTCGATTATTTCAAAGAAAGGTAGCGCAATTACGAATCAAATTGACGCCGCTGGATATATTCCTTTGGTATTTAAAAAATATTTTCTTACAATTTAAATTTTTTTTTTTTTTTGTTGTTTATTGCAATTTGACATTGGAATTTGCTAACTTCTGATTTTTAACCATTCGTATAGCATTATGCATTATGCAGCTCGAAGTGGTAATCACCGTTTTTTACTGGAACATGGTGCAAATGTAAATGCCATAACTTCAGAACTTTGTCAACCGTAAGTATATTGTAAATATAGGTCCGAGTCGGTGAAATTAGCGGATCTGCCTTAGGATTTTTCGGAGTCCAAAAGGAGACTATATTTTAACAATGGTCATACCGGTGGCAAAAACATTGTTCCTGACCCACTTGGATCACGTTTCTGACCTATCACGTGAATTTCCATTTTGAATGCTCTCAGTCAATTTAAGAATATCATCTAAACGGTTTGTTGAATTTGAGTGTAGTCATCTATCCAATATAATCTATTGCTCCTTCTACTCTACGTACTGTTATTAACCCTTCTTTTACAGCTCGACTAACATTTTTACGGCTTTGCTTTTTCAAATGTGCCTTTTTTAAATGATCAGATTCATTAAGATATTTTTCAAAAGCACGTCCAAAAGGCACGAAAACATTGTCGTCTTCTTTTAAAAAAAGTTGGGACGACTTAATAAAGGTGTAAGGAATAATACTGTAATAGCAATAGTTTCTAGATTATTAATTGCGCGAGTTGTTACACAAATTGATTTTAATTACATCATAATTATTTAATAATTATGTTATCATTATTGTATCTATATTGTATCGTTATTGTTAATTTATTTTTAAAAGTAATGGGATCTTTTATTTCACGATACTACTGTACTATATTACTTAATGCTTTAATAATAAAAACATTATTAAATTAATTATGTTTATAAATTGCTCTTCTACATGTACGAGTTTTATTTATTTTTAGAAGAAATCTAATAATTTCATTAGCACTTTCTACGGGACTGGGATGTTAATATAAGTTCGATGTAAACATTAATTTATAGACTGGGATGTTGGTGTAAGTTCTATATAACTATATCATTAGTACTACAGTAATTCTTTATTCCTCTTGGCTAATTTATATTTTTTTTTGGGTCAGAAAATTAAGGTTAGAAACGTGATCCAAGTGGGTCAGGAACAATGTTTTTGCATACCAGTGCTTTTCATTTGTGGAAAAATTTTAGTGATCATGGTAGTTTTGTTTTTTATCTTTATTCTTCATTGAAATAGCATTTACCTGTGATTATTACATATATATTTTATTTACATTATATTCACACTTTTTATGATCAAAGATTGGCAACCTCAAATATCAATTAGTGGATATTTAATTCTGTAAAAGATATTTCATGGAATCTGACCTTTAAGTATCTTGTCTCTGTAAGGTACACTTGTTTTCTATTTTTACTTGTCTACAAAAAATTCGTTTAATTTGAATAAATGAGATTGCAAGACTTCAAATTCACGGGTATGATATACAATGTATTGCCTTCGTTAGTTGGTGGAGATTTGTCAACGGTTCTGACAAAAAAAGGTAAGCAAATATTATTTAATAAATTGTAATTCACAAAAATTATTAACATTTGTATTAAACTTCTGGCTAATTAGATATTAAGAGTATTTGATGCGCCAAAAACCTTTGTTCAATCGTTATCAAAATTATTAGACGACGAAGTTTTGAGAGAATCGGTTATGTATACATATATATATATATATATATAATATAATATCATTGATATAAATTTAAGTAACTGCACTACGTAGTTGCGTTTAAGCTGAGAATATAGTATGATTGCTAGACTTGTATTTAGGATCTGAGTATTGTGACGAACTTTCTAATAATTGTAAAAATACTAGCTCTTAGGCCCGGGCGATACTCCGGGGCTAGGTCTTAAGTGTTTTTAATCTCAAATTCAATAGTTTTTTAAATTTCAAAATATGTACTTATTTATT